TAACTTTACTAATGTTTATTTGAATTTTAATCCTTATTTTGATAAATAAAGATCTTATTCTTAAGACTCTGATGCCTGATGCGATTTTTTAAATTTATATTTATCTCTTTTTGCTACAAAAAGAAGTGTGACATGTATACATACCTGCAACCATGACATCCGGATTTCTGTAAACAAAAATCAAACAATTCATTAATTTGGATAAATTTGGTAATTAAATAATTTGTTTCTTAGCTAAATATATAATGGAAATCACTTTAGCAGTTTTGGATAAACAGAGATGTCAAATGTATCATAAAATAACTTCTTCGCAAAATCAATATTTATTATATACAGGATGAATCAGAGTCGTTGAACCAACTTTTTACCCTCTGAGCAAATTATACGACTTTATACCTAATTGAATTATAACGTGTACAGTCAATGATTTTTTTATAAGCTAAAAAACTGATTCAACACTCTGATTCGCTCTGTGACACGCACACACACACACACACACACACACAAACACACACAACCTGTATTTTTAATTATTTTAAATTAAAATACATTTAATTATTTTAATTTTTTCCTTTCAATTAAAAATATATTTTTCTAACGCAAACTGTAATTTTGCTATAATTTGAACACATTAATCAATTTATTCAAATTAAAATCTGTTACGCAATGCAACATTATGACATATTCATGATAAAATAAGAATTATTTTTTCGTGATATGTTGTTTTCTCGAAAATGTACACATTTGGGAGGAATAATTAATCTAGTCTTCTTCGTTTGCATGAGACATTGCTATCTTATCACTGGAATGCAACTACTTTAAAGATGACTCATCTTGTGTGTGTTCATACTTTGCGCACGTACGTACATTTACATTTCGTACATACGTTTAAATTTAATTTTTAATTTAATGTGATTTATTAATGTTTATAAATATACAAATTGTAATAATTGCAGTTGAAAAAATAATTAAATTTGAATACAATCTCTGATCTATTTTAAGAAATTATTAATTCATATTGTTCTCAGAGCACGCATACGTAAAATTATCGTAATAATTAAATTGGGAATACAAGAAATACTTAATTAGTCGCTCATATTTCTTCTATCGATCAAAAACTATGTACAATCTGACGAAAGTTGATTAAAATGTCTTTTAGGAGAATACGGTCAGACATTTCCTTAAAAGGATTAAACAACACTGACCACTGGAACAGTGCAATTGGAAGATATCTCGCAGTTGTGTAAATGTAGGTCGTTATACAATATTGACAATATTATTATCAAAGAACTAAGAAAAATAATAAATTATAAATAATTTCTAAGATTCTTATATATACACAAAGTGAGAAAAAGATTTCGAATTAAATATGAAAATTTAGTTTCCTTAAACTTATAATTAGATTTATACTTGCTCAAAATTATATATTTCGTTGATTTATTTTTAAACTATGAACTCAATGCGATTTCCATGTGAATCATGTTAAGCCTCAATGTAATAAAATCTTGTAAAGAAAAAGAATATGATAATAATTGAATAAGAGGTAATAATTTAAAAAAATATATTTTTTATAATAAAATATACGTAATAGTAGTCTTTATACATGTAAATTTGTCAATAAAACATTCAATAAAAAATCTAACAATGAAATTCATATTGTAAAGTGTAACAAAAACAAATAGTATGTAGAATGCATTAATTTTATTAGTATTTTATTGTACATGCAAATAATTCATTCAAAAATTAAACAAAACTCTTCTCTAGCAATGAATAGAAGAAGCTGAAAATTTTAATAATAGAATTTTGGAGTCAAGTCTAATACTGTGCCGGAGCGCAGGCGTTTTTATCTTGGCACAACCAGTACAGCACGTGACTCTCACTTTCAGCAGATTCATGAACGCTTCGTTGAAAAAGATAATGATTCTTGTGGAAAATTTGCCAACTTCTTCTACGTTACTTCGACATAAATAAACTATTCACGATATATCACATCGATCTTGTTTTTATCAGTACCGGTGACTAATACAATTATTATAAATAAATGTTTGTATTAAATTTTTTATTTTAGCCATCATGAAATTCATCTAGCATTTTAGTAATTTCCCGCACTAATAAATTTAAAAAATTTCTCAAAATTAAAAAAAGAATGTTTATCGTTTGTAAAAATTTTCTAAAAAAAGTTGATTCAGCTAAAAATATCTTTCTTATTCTCTTCTATCATGTTATCACAAATTATGAAAAATATTATTTTCTTAAAGTGTAAATTTCTCAGAAAAGTTCGGTCATGGCGAATCAAATCGGTCACGCTGATGGCGGCCACGCCGTAACGCTCGGAACCCAGCCAATAAGCCGCAGCAAGTAGAAATGTATTTAGGTAGATACACGAGCGAGAGTAATTTTAGCGCGGACTTGCGCAGTGGAATCTCGCACATTAAACACTTCGAATCATTTTATTTTTAGGATTTCTAACATCGCGGCAAATACACGATAAATGTGCGATCATCTCACAATCGATCGTATTGAATGAAGATATTTATCAAATTCAATCAAGAGTCGAGAACTTGGATCTGAAAAACGTATATATTAACTGTGAAAAAAATTAAAATTCTACTGTTAGTAACATAAGAAAATATTTATCGTAAGTACCTATAACCAACAATCCAAACGATTTTATTTTTATTCAAAAAAGATATTCATTTTACTGAAACGTTCACCAAAGTGTAAACGAGGCATTGCGCCCAATTGGACGTAAAAATGCGCCGACTTGCGAAAAAGCTACGCTCCAAGTCAAATCTTTTTGTCGAACGACATCACTCGTCTCTTGACGATGAAATATGTGTTCTCCTTGGGACATACGACGACAAAGCCGATTTGGCCTTGCGACGCTCGACCCATTGCACGACGATCGAAAAACGAGTTCCATCTCTGATCCTTAATTCTTCCGCGAGGTCTGTCTCTCTTTCAAGTTTTGTGTGTATACGTCGATAAAGCATAAACATTACATAAAATAATTTTTATCTTTTAATATAACTAACAATGTTCTAAGTTTCTCTATTTTAAAATTTTAATCATAGTTCCACCATATTAATATTAAATCGACAATAATTCAACTCGATATTAGATTATAACGCTTGAACTTAATATTGACTGTAAGACTACCGGCAGTTTTAAGTCATGCTTGTCCGGTCTTTCTTTCTTTTCTAATGTATATTCGATTTTATTGCAATAAATAAATGCGCTATGTTACATTTTTTATTTATAGAGTGATCCGGAGAGGCAGAGTCACGCGTATTTCAACAATGGATTGTTATTTAGAAGAAACGATGATCTTACCCGACAAATGTCGAAGAGTTCATATCCAAGATAATTTCGTAATTCACTGATGTTGATTCCGCACGCTGGCTTATGCCGCTACTCACTAGCCGAGAAAGAAAGAAAGAGAGAGAGAGAGAGAGAGAGAGAGAGGGGGGGAGAAAAAGAGAGAGAAACCGGTTCTCTATACTACTTTTGGGATTCTAAAAGTTGGAGGAGAAGGCGGATATTAAAAGGGATACGAGCAGCTCCGATGCCGACACTAGCGCGCGCCCGCAGCTACTACAGACCGTCGTCGTTTCGAATCGCTTGGTGCTCAGACCTCGTCGTGACTTTACAGACTGGCACGCAGAGCTGACGATGTGACTCCACGGTCTTACATCTTTACCGATTTGATCGCCGCATTGCGTTGCTCTCGCGCTGGTCTGGTCACCGCGCGCCGGCCGTCTTTCGCCGCTCGCCGTCCGCCGTTGCTCGCCAAAATAGCTCGATTCTATTTTAAGATCCTGATATATACAACATGTATTTCCTATTATTCACGATATCATCAGGTATATCAAAAAGTCTCAATCTGCTTGGCATTGATTCACATGAAGATCATTGTATTTTATACATGTATATTAAAAATACGTATGTAGACAGTATAACTGTCCTTAAAAAGATGTATAATTCCAATTTGGAATTGAAATCTGATTCAAATTCTCTTTTCACGACATACCGATAAATTTTTACTGTACATTATTTTATAGCTTCTTTTTACAAAATTTTTACAGATTTTGTAGATACTTTTTTTTTTATTCTGAATACAAATATCAGAACCATAAAGAACAGCTTCTAGATCATATAAAATAATTCTAAACTTTAAATGTTTTCATATAAATAAGAAGTGGGAATATAAAATAGAGAGATTCATATGAAAAATTGAAAATTACAAACACAAAGATATTAAATTTTAAATATTTCGCTAGCATCATCAAGTCTGTTCTTACGACTACTAATTTTACAACCGATTCTACTATATTCTATAAAAATTATTGCGATATTTAAATTCATGACACCTTACGATGCAATGTCTTAGCAAGTTATAATATGATAGACTGAACGATTACATTGCATCAACAAAAATTCATTTAATTAAAAATATAAAGTTATATATATTCAAATAAACTCTAAATATTATAAACTAAATAACAATGAAGGTATAATTATTATAAGGCTAATATTCTCAAGTACAATGGAAATGTTTAAGCACAGTGTCCTGAGAAATTTCTAACTTGAAGATAAAAAATAACCGAACATGTAATGATAAAAGGAAGGATAATGGTGCCAACCCTGGTGAAAATTGTTTCTAAAAATTTAATTTTTTAGAAAAAGTCCACATAAATTTCTAAAAGAATTTTTCAGATTTTCTGTATAATTTTATAACTTTTTAGAAAAGTTCTCATATTCTTTTGTATAAATTGGAATATTTTTCGAAAATGATGAAAATGTCTACATTTTTTTCTAGAACTCTGTATACATTTTGAAATGTTTTAAAGTTTTTTCATTTAATGAAATTTCCGAAGAATATCTATAATAAAAAAGTTTAAGGTATTTTTCTAAATCTTCTAAATTTATAATATTAAATTTATTTAAAAATATGAAATATGAAAACTATTTTCACCAGGAAACAAACACCTCGATACAATTTAGCGCTGATCATGGTCAGAAGCTACAATCTCATCAAACGCTGCTTCATGTTCCGAAGTGGTAAACATGTATGCTGGTAGAGTTAATCTAAGGACCTTGTCGTATTTGGCTTTTGTTTCCGATGTATAATCGTACGGTTCAGCTTCCTTCGTTTCCTCTGCGGTATGCGATGCCTCATCGGGATAATCATTGTCCGGCTTCTCCAATCTAACATATGAATTTTTGCTAGCGGACGTGCTGGGTTCTAAAGAATCTACCGCTTTCGTTTTCGTCGAGCTTGACGGTTTGAAGTCGCTCGGGGCGCGAACTCGGGGCACGGAATCAACTTGAAATTCTTTCGTTTCGTGAAATACGAGCTGATCCTTGTCAGGCTCCTGTCCGGTGACAAAAGCGCATTCCTCTTTTTGAAAACCCTTGTCGTCGATACACTGGTAGCAGGTCATTTTATCGCGCATAATCTTTTTACAATTCGATCGGTCCTCTTTCTGAAACTTCTGCATAAACTCCTCGATCTCGGCCTTCTTTTTCACAGTGTCCAAGTATCCAGCGTCCACTCCTTTCTTCCCTTCCGCATCATCCTTAGATGTTGCTTCATCCGTCGATGAAGCTTCGTAAGTTAGTCCCGGAACGTATTTGTCGTAAGACTTCTTCGTAATTTCAGAACTGTCTGATGGGTGCTCGTCTTCGCGCGATGTTTGCTCGGATTTCTGTGGATTGCCAAACGAGCTGGATTTACTGTAAGAAAAGAGCTTATCCTTGGGTTGATACGAGTATGAACACTGTTCAAAATCATTGCCTGTTTGCGGATCTTTGCAAACCTTGCACGTCATTGAGTCCTTCTGTAAAGTTTTACAATTATCCTCGCTGATATTTTCAGAGTAATTCTCCAAAACAGGTTTTGAGGAAGATGTCTTTTGACCATCATAAGATTCAGAATTGCTATTATATGAAGGAAATTGGTAATCACTCGCTTCGGAACTGGAGTAATCGCTGCTATACTCGGGTGAATCGCGAGAATCATTCGGGACTTTTTGAGCTTCTACTTCTCTGTTGGATTTCCGTGGATAAGTAGAGTATTCTGATTTATCTAAAAAATCAGTGTAAATATAATTAAAATACAGCCAATACATTTTCTAAAGAGCTATTAGTAAAAAATTTCTGTGATCTATAACTCAAATAACTTGTGCTGTACACTTCATTTGTTATATTATACATACGAATATACTGCAAAATTCGATTTTTTTAAACAATATAAAAGCATCTTTAATAAAAATTCTCCAAAATTAGACCACTCACACAATAACAGAATTTTTTAATCAAAATATATGTCCAAAGAACATAATTTTAGGATAAAAAATTCCAGTACATTGCATGTCATAATAACTGTATTTATATAAAGCAGTTAATAATAACTTTTTCTTGCTAGAATTTGAATTCTCAATTTAATACTATAAAAGTATTAAAAAATTTTGAAAATTAAAACTAAACTTAGCATTAAAATAATTATATGGGAATTATTAGAAAATAAATAGCTGCATTTAAAGTTAGCCGAGTAGTTGAATGTGATTGATTGGATCTATAAGTAAGAATCAATCATGTTTAATCGTTCGAAGAACAAACTATCAGCTTGAAATTTTACCTATATAATCAGGCGCAGAATTGGAACTTTGCGGATAATCAAAATTCTTTGATTTTTCCGATGCTTGACTCTTGTTTGAGTCCCGACTGTCCCGAATCGATTCTGAGGTCTTATCCGGATATCCAAAGGTTTTTGATCTGCTGTATTTATATAATTTATCGCTGGGTTGATAATTGTAAGTGCATTTCTCATAAGTACCGCCTGTCTTAGAATCCTTGCACACCGTACAGGACTTGGAATCCTTTTGTATCTGTTTACAATCTGATGAAGGAGCATCCTTGACTTCATCCTGTTCGTTCACTGTCGAAGCCTTCTCGGAATAATCCTCGTTAGGATAAGAATATTCACGAGACTCAGTGCTTGGACTGCGATCTTTTTGGTGATCAGACGCTTCAAAATCAGAGACTTCGGAATGAGAAGTTAATTCGGGACGTTCATCGCTGTCATTTTCCTCACTTTTTTGAGGTTTTCCAAATGTGCTGGATTTGACGTAAGAGTATGCTTTCTCATGTGGCTGCTTTACATACGAGCATTGTTCATATTTGCCATTGGTCTTAGCGTCTTTGCACACCATGCACACCATAGAATCTTTTACGATCTTATCACATTTTTCTCCCTTGTTTTCGTATGCAGCTGGTACGTCATGGGTAGCGTCAGTAAAATACTCTTCAGTAAATCGATAAGGATTTCGTAGTTTTCCGTAATTATCATTGTTTCCTTCGTAATTGGATCTGCGATGATAAATAATAGTAATGACATCGCATGTAGTGAGAAAATTATATAAATCTGCACAAATTTTATTTTAATTGATGCAACTTTGTGATATTATTTCTCTTTTTAGAGAAAAAATAAATTAAAATAGAAAGATTATAATAAATTTCTTTTTGATATTTTTTTGTTTAAAATTATTTTCTTCTTTTTAAATGGTAAAATATTTCCTTAAGTATTCTTTAAATAATTCTAAGTTATCTAGCTATACCATTTTTAAACCTTTTGGATTAAAAAGAAACATTATTTTTTCGCGTTCAATCGAAGTTCGTCTCACTTTTTCCTTTTTTGAAAAATACAATATATCTATAGCTCGAATAATGGATAAAAGAACATATTATTATACGACCGCATAAACATGAATATTAAAATTATTAAAAGTGCCTTTCTTTAAAATACAAATATTAAGTTTTAACAAACTTTCAATATAAATTGTCGAGTGTGATATTTCTATTTGTGTTCGAAGAATACTTTAATATCGCTACCTTCGATATCTGAACTTAGTAGGTGCGGGTAAATAATTTTCCACCTTCATATTAGCGGATACACTCTCTTCCGGATGACTGCTATATAAACAACGTTCGTATGTGGATTTAGTTTTTGGATCCTTGCAATTGTAACAAGTCGTAACGCCTTTCCTTGGTTCACCATCCTTTCCGATTGATTTCACCTTGATTTCTTGACAGTGCGCTACTCCTAAATCAGGAGTCAATTCCTTGTATCTTGTGGAATCTTTATTAGAGAACACATAAAATGGAATTTTTTTCAAGTATTTTTCTTCAATAGGTTCTTTCTTCGTAGTAACGGGAAAAGACTCAGATGGGCTTCCAAAACGATCTATAGGTCGATCTTTGCTCAATTCATAAAAACTGTAATCAGGCAGAATCTCGGAAGGAGCACTCTCATAAAAGTCATACTGGTTATTCCAAGAATGCGATGTGCTCTCTGATGGATCCCAATTTTTCAAACGTTCATAATTTGCACTTACATGACAAGTAATTAGAGCTGATAGCGTTAAATATATCTGCAAATGTATAAGAAAATATTTATTTATTTATTCAAATAACAATAATAGCAATAAAAATATTAATTTTTTTTAGTATAACAATAATATATGCCTAGATATTATAATGTAGAATATCCTTCAAAAAAATAATCCTTGTATTATATATTTATCTTAAATAAATTACAGCTTTTGATATTCTTTATAGCATTGAGGAATTAGAGCTTTGAGGTCATATAGAAGTACAAAACTAACTTGAAACAAGAGATAGAAAATAATTAAAAAATTGTTATAGTTTAATCTTTTAATTGTATTTTATTTTAAAAATTAAAAAAAAAATTTTTACAAAAATCCAAAATCAATTGTTCAAAATAGAATGAGCATATAATATTATAAGCAAAGAAATAGTAATATAAACAATTAGTTAAGTGCACATTGAATTAATGTTCTATCTAAATGTTTCTCTTTCACTGACCTTGCAGCAAGTCATTTTCGAAGACCATCAATCATTTAATACGAAACCCGAATAGATTTGTATTTTCAATTCCAATAGGATAACCACAATCTACATCACTTTCTCATCAAGTGATCGTATCTTCGTGTAAAATGCCTTTATATTGACTCGTAGTAAATAACAGATATTCCCTACCTAGCATAAGCCTTTATTCTTTTGTTAGAAAAATTCACGAACCGTGACGCGCTCCAACCGAAGTGATCGAAACAATCGGTCGATTACCTAAACTACTTTTGCTTTTATTTACGTAACTCGGAGTGAGCGTTTACGACGAAAACTAGTGAAAATAATGGGATTATAGGACATGCACAATTACATCAATGGAAAAAGAAAGATAGAACAATATATAACTTTTACTGATAATAAATTCACAATCATAGCCGTTTATTTTAAGATATTTATATTGTATTAATATGAATTTTGATAATTTAGAATGTTTAATAACACAAGATAATTACAGCTCTGTATAAATTTATCATTATGAATGAAGTGATTGTAATTGATTTAATAATTATTCGCTTAAGGATAAAATGACAAATTTATTATTTATCAGCAATATCACACTATAAATATATTAGACTCAAACAGCATTTTTTTTTCAAAATTTTAAACAAAATAATAAAATAATGTAAAAATAATATTAAAATAATAAAAATGTTTCAAATTGTTATATTAATATCATCGTTTTTGCTCTATTTACGCCCAGGAAGCAAAACTATATACAATGTGAAAGTATTCGAAGATCAATGACCGCGCGTATTATTGTAAATATTTCCGTTTCAATGCAATCGTTTGTAAAAAAAAATATATAATGTATTCCACACCTAAGATATTATATTAGCTTTTCTTTTCTTCATAACAAATCTATTGAAGATAATAAAATTTTATTTGCTATTTTAATATTTGCTGGATCTTTTTATATGATATAAAGATTACCGCAGATTTTCTTCGATAAAAAGAGAGAAGGAATAAATATCCTTATTTTAAATAAAACTATATGTTTTCGTTATGTTCGAATCAATTCCTTTCGTTATTTGCTCTGTGTGTGAAAATATTAAAGTAATCATTAGTTAAAGAGTGACAACTTTAGAAGATATTTTATACTTTATTTTGACAAAATATAAAATTCTTTGTAAAATATTTTAATTTTAATATTTTGTACGTAAAATAAAAAATTAAAATAAGATACCAGAAAATATTAAAATTAAAATTAATTTTGTCACTATCCTTAATTAACAATCTGAAAAAGAAAAAATAAATATAACATATTACGTATTCATTTATTAATATTTTTGTAATAGTATATAAACATTTGAAAAACGTATTGTACATCTCTTTTTAGTAAATGTGCGTATATTATTTATTACTTAACGTGAATTAATTTAACGATACCTAATCAATAACAATTAATTAATATTAAGGTATTTATTTGTCAGCAGTGGAACAGTCTCCCAAAAATTTGTATAAATATAATTTTAAGAACCTTATGTTGTATAAATATAATCAATCATTTAATTCTAATTTTTGCACGATACTTTATTAATTGAGAATAATCTTATAATAAAACAATATTGTCTAAAAATAATTATCTTTTGACAAATACACCATAATGCATCTTAAACTCTACGTATATTGACCTTTGTGATAAATTCTAAGTATTAAAAGTGATTGTGAAAAGGAGAAAACTCTGAAAAACACATAGGGATTAACCAGAAATAATTTGCGAGTTCGTAATATATAGATCATCGTTGAAAATGATTTACTCTTTAAAAGGGAAATGTCGTGGATAGACAGAGATGTGTGAAACACGCGGCGTATGATTAAGTTGTTTGCCGAAAACTGCATCAGTAGGTGCGGGCTTCATTCGAAGCTTTGATGCGATTTTCTGCATGATGATCTTATCATTCTCAATATCTTTAATTGTCTTTTTGCCATTCTGTTTTCCTTTCTGAGAGTTGTTCCGTTTACGATAGTAAAGAACTTCACCGGCTAAAGTAATCATCGCCAGTGCCAATCCAAACAAAGTTGCAATAAATACACCTCCTACAGAAATATTAATTAAATATAAAATTTGAATCACACACACACAATTAGAAAAAATAAATATCTAAACATATCAATACTTTAATAGCAAATTGAAACATTGTTATACAATTACATTTGTGCATATATATATATATAATTTTTTTCTATATATTAGTATATTTACATAACATCTAAATTTAATGATGTATAAGAAATAACAACAAACCTAAACTCTCCAACGTAATTCCCTCATTGTCATCGGAATTTGGACATTGAGACTTTAATGTCTGATTCCAATACTTAGCTGCCAGTGTCTCAAAATACCTGTCTTTTTGTAAATCCAGTATTCTAAAAATAATATTATTTATATTATATATCTGTCATATAAGTAACGATCATAAAATAATATTACTGCAAAATAATATCATGCATTACAATATCTCTGCTACTTAAGTCCATTTCATTCCAATATAATTACTAAAAACTTTTTGCTATTTAAATGCTTAATGCATGTGCTATACATTTGTTGTTTCAAGATATTTATAATTGCATAATAACTTACGAATTAAAAATAAGACAACAATAAAAAAGACACACATTCAAATACAATACTTTGCTATAATTCTAACGATAATCGATAGTATCTTAATTGGGAATCGAGTGAATTAAGCATAATGGAAAAGAGAAAAGAAATAAATTAAACTGACTTTCTGCTTATTTCTTCTTGTAAATGACTGCCTTGCTGCACGGCAATAGCATACGGTTGCTCGGCAAATACTTCGCCTACTTCCGTTAAATTGCAATTCTTCGTTACTTCATATTTTATCTCCGACGAATCATGAATAAACGCAAATTCGGCATCTTCGCTTTCTATCACCTGAAAAATATCATACATTTCAACTAAACATTTACTATTGCGTTTCACAATTTCTCAACATTTTTTCTCTTCTTCTACTTTTTTCTTGTACCTTTCTAAAACCATCTTCGGTAGACTTGACTGGTCCCACTTGAGTAATAGCTTGTAGAATATGACCGTATTGTTCCTTTATTGGATAATCCCAGACACGATATTCTACTTGATCGCTGGTGCTATTTAGTGTAATTTCTTTCCATACTCTACAAGCAAATAATATAAAATATGCACGTTACCAATGACCTTAATAACATATTTCATTTAAAAAATGATATATGTTTTACACACGTATATAGCTTTTCCTCGGCATTTTTCATGTTTTGGAAATATTGATGAGCACTAGAATTGGTTAGAACGGTATAATTTATACGTGATTGCCTAGCCAATTGTTCCAATGATTGTACAGGTGACTATGTAATGAAATATACGTATATTAGTGTGGGAAAAATAATATGTCTTACGGAATATTAATATTTTTAACAATACTTTCCAAATAAAATAAATCTCTCCAAATTAAATAAAAAAAAAAACAAAAATTTTCATTAAACATGTAATAAAAGAGACATACTTGCATTCTTTCTACAGTAAGGAAAGCAGCTAAATTTGCAGTAAAAGTCGCGAGCATCAGTACAACGAATAGCCAATAAGCTGCAACCAGAGTTCTGCTTGATAACGCTTTTGGAGCTTCACCACCACCTTGTGGCGTAAAAGATGTCAATGCGAACCAAAAGCTCTCTTTCAATGTAAACTCTCTGAAAAGTTTGTCTGTTAGATTCAACCAAAAGGAGAAGATAAAATTTGGAAAGGACAAGGTAAAATTTTTTTATAACAAATTAAATTGCTCTACCTACTACATACAATGAAATATACTCAACCCATACGAAATAATCGCTTGTATGTGATTTATAATATAATAGAATACGCAGCAAAAATGAATATGTTATCAGATACGTACCGACAAGGATAGGGATAAAGTCGTTTATTGTTCCTTGCACTGTATGGTGAATATTTATCTAATATCCAAATCATAATACCGGTCAAAGTTAACGCTCCTACTATGCTAAGCCAGACTTCATGTCTCAATACCGTCATGAATTTAAATAGAGATGTTTTACGGATTGGCTTTCTCATTACTTGAAAACAAAAATTAACATAAATTATTCCTTTTATATTAAATTATCATTTACATGCATATTTAGCTAAAAAAAAACTTGTCTTACAGATTGAATTAATAAAATAAAAAAATATATAAAAAATGGAAGAAAAATTGAGATAAACTACTAAAAAGTAGTAGAAACTAATAGAAAGAATGTAAACGTTTATTAAAATTTATATTCTATTTGCTGGTAACATTCATATAAAATATAACACGTAATATAAAAAAGATTTAAATTGCATACCGATTAATATACCAGACTGTTCGAAATAGGGTGCAACAAAATCAATAACTTCTTCTCGCTCTGATGTCATTGTTAATGCCGCCACAGCAATATCAGTTTCCTATTATTAAATAAATTTACTTGCTACAGTCAGAAAATATTATCAAGCTACTTTAACTTTTAAAACCTTTTGCGGAAACACTCCAAAACTAATTAAATGCTAATTAAAATTTTCAATCCTTAAAAGAAATTGATTGCAAAGAGAGATTAATAAAATTTTTAATATTACATTATTTCATATTACTACAGTGTGACATAATAAAACAGAATAAGAAAGAAAATATAAAATTAAGGCAATTAATTGCAACGAATGATTAAAAGTTATATTAAAATAAAACAAAATATCGACGCGTGTTAAATGTGAAGAACATCTTAAAAATATACAGAATATTTTGAAAAAATATTTAGACATACTCCTTTAGCCAGATCACCTATCAGACCGCTCCATTCACCATTAGACAATTTTTTGCCAAACTCTAGATCTTCAGGAATAACAAGATCGTAATCGAATTGCATCTCCTCGGATAATTTTTGAATAAAATCTATACAGTAACCTTCCCAGATTTCTTTTCCATCCTCGTTACGCATGTCTTGACCCGTCACTGGGTCTTTCTTAATTACAGACCATGGTATTGACTATTAACCAGATTAATTAAGACAACATTAGATTAACTTTTACTG